GGACATTATGGTTGAAACTGCTAATGGAACTAAAATGGAAGTGTTAATGAAACATGTACAAGGTATGATTAATGGATTTCATCTCCTCTTTATTCATGAATTAATTTGGGTAGAATTAAACCTAACAGGCTTGCTCAATCGGGTTTACTCGGTTGAGCGTCGGTCGCGCTCCTTGGTTTTTGGGGCGTGACAGAATTGGCCCAACTTAAAGAGCCTAAGGGCTTAACAGAGCCTAAGGGCCAGAGCATGTAGAGTTCGAGACCTTGCTCTCACTCAACTCGGATTCAAGACTCCCGTCATCCCGAGCTCACATCAAATCAACTTAAGCATAGCTCGAGGATTAACAAAAGAGCCTAAGAAGTATCTATTATAAGTCCAGAGATTGCCCATTGATCACTAAAAACCCAAAGAGTTTGTTTTATTCTGAGCTCGAGCCAGTGCTCATTTGATCATTGAAGTCATAACATCAAAAAATTTCGCAAAATGAAGACCAAGCAGAATTCAATACAAATAGGAGATGAAGCAAAGGGAATTCTTTATATTTATAAAGGGTATTTACAATACCCACGAGGGGCCTTACATAAAAATAAAGAAACAAAAATAAAACCCTAAGAGCCTAATCTACTTTGGGAGCCGCATCCTCATGAACCTCCTCCTCGAGGACTGCATCCTCGCCCTCAGAGCCCCTAAAAAAATCTTCATCATCGGGAGAAACGAGGAACTTGGCATCGGCCTCAAGTGATTTTGCTTGAGTTATCTCATTGGTGAGGTCGAAACCTCGAGCGTGGATCTCTTCAAGGGTCTCCCTCCGGGATTGACACTTGGCCAAATCACTTACCCGTTTCTCCCGGTCGGAGGCCTCCCTCAGCTCCGCTTGGACAACCTCGGCATTCTTTAAGTATACGGCGATGGTTTTATCAGTTGTGGCCTTCGTCTTCTCAACTTCGGCCTTGGCCTCAGCAACCTCAGCCCCCGCTTCAGTGAGTTTTGCTTCAAGCTCCTAGATATTCTTGCCCTCGGCCAGATTTTTCACTTTAGCACTCCGGAGCTGGGTCTCAGCCAAGGCCAGTTGGGCTAGAGCAGCCTCTTTGTCAGCAACAAGCCGATCCATATTCTCCTTCCATCGATTGCAGTCGGCTTTAACCCGATCGACCTCGCCCCGAAGCTTCCCGGTCATCTCTAATTTTCGCTGCAGCTAAGACATTGAAGTGTTAGACTCCACAGTAAGGTCGAGTAGTCCATACTCTTTCAAAATCACAGTTACCTGCTTGTCTAGCTCGGCCTCATTTTTACGAGCTTTGGCCAAGTATGCTCAGAGGTCCTTGAGCTCCTCCTCCTTTTGGAGCCTCAGGGCCTTCTCTTCATCCGAAGACTTCTTAAGCTCGGCCTCACATTGGCTCAGCTCGGCCCTAAACTTGGTAATGTCCTACACAAAGAACAAAAAGGTATCAGTTAGGACAAGAGAGGAAAACCAGAAATTCTACAACAATGAAAGTGGGTGCTTACCCGAGAGAAGAGACGATGAGACTCTTCAAAGAGGGTAGATGCGTCATTGAGGTAGGCGGCATCCTCGATCCCGGTGAAATAATCCTGAAAGGGATATTCTTCGAGGACCTTGCTTGTATCGGGCGTTCGCAGGGCTCGAGCGTCCTTTATTGCCTCCTCGGAATAAGATGGTAGAGAAAGGGAGTGACCTATTGTCATGGCTCCGAGATCCTCACTCGGGGCGCTCTGAATAGTGTCGATATTTTCAGCACTTGCCCCTCCCGGTGTACTTGTTGAAGGCGGAGGAATAACCTTGACCTCAGGGGACTCGGGGGCTTTACCCGAGTTTTTCTTCGGAATTTCCTCACCACGAGGCAAGGTCTCCGGCTTGTAGGGCTTGGCGGCCTCAACCGGTTTCCTAGTCCGGGGTCAATAACGCCGATTCTTCGCCCTCATCTTCTTTATCGTCCAGAAATTGGTGGACCGAATCTACGTCCACGTAAATGAGTTTCTTCCTTAGCCTTCGAGCATGGGCTTTCTTGTCTTGAGGATCTTCAAGCTTCGAAGCCCTTTTTCTTTTGTTATCTTTCCCCGATTCGGGGACCGAGGACTTGGTCTCTTCTCCGGGAAGGGCCGGCCTCATCTCCGAAAAATCTCTGAGGCCTGCATAAATCAAGAATCGAGTATGAGGAAACCAATGACTTAGGTAAAGGAGGGAAGTGTCAAAAGGCTTACAAAGAAAGACTCACCGTGATTTTTGGCTTCTCATTTGCCCCTCGATAAGTCACGCCATTTGCGCTCGTCATACGAGGAGGTCACGACTGACTTCCAGACCCAGTCCTTGAGGTCAGTGATCGCATGGGGCATCCATGTTTCGGCTGCAAAAAGGATTAAAGAATTACACAATGTAGAAACAGAATGTAAGAAAGCATTGAGGGAAAGACTTCACTTACGCTCGGGATTCTATTTCTCCAGGAACGGCATTTTGTCCTCGGGGATCATGTCCGAGGTCCTCACTCGGATGAATCGGCTCATTCAGCCTCAGTCTTTGGCCTCATCATTGCTAGCAAAGAAGTCTTTGCTTGATCGGCGTTGGAGTTTGATCAGTCCTTGAAAAAGTTGAGGCCGATATAATCGAATAAGGTGATTGAGGGTAAACTCCAGCCCCTTGTCTTTGCTAGAGAAATAACGGAGCATGATCACTATGTGCCAAAAGAGGGTTGAATCTGGCCAAGGGTGACTTGATATCTTTTGCAGAAATCAATCACGACCGGATTAATAGGGCCAAATGTGAAGGGATAAGTGTAAACTCTTAGGAAACTCTCCATGTGGGTGGTGACATTCTCCTCGGGGGTCGGGATCTGTACCATGACCTTATCCCCCCAGTCACAATCCTTTCTTACAGACTCGAGGTGTTTCTCCGTTATCGAACAGATATACCTCGAGGCATGCTCACATCGACAGGGAACTGCAGGGGAGTTTTCTACGTCGAAATCTTTCTTTATGATGCAGGCGACGGGAACGATCTCGTGAAGGGCCGGTGCTTTGTCACCGGCCGGACGGGAACAAGATGAAGAAGCCTTTTCTTTTTGGGGAACCCTTTTAGAGGTTTTGCCATAATTTTAAGTTAAGAGAAGCGGAAGGTGGCAGAGCTTGGCTTTTTCCGATATTAAAAGGATGGTGGAAGCAGGTGATGAGAGAAAAAGACGAAAAGAAGAAGGGATAAGAGAGAGTGCAAGGAAGAAGTAAAATTCTTAATTCGAAAAAGGAGCCCCATATTTATAGGTAAGCGGCAACGGTTTAATGACGCTAGTGGCCGACCATCACTGGAGAAACATTTAATATTTTAGGGAAGCGAACCGACGGGACATTCCGGTCACTTCGAGCGCCTACGTCACGAGGATGACGTCATTAGGGACTCTGGTAAATCGAGGTTCAAATCGTTTCTTATCATTTTACTCTAAGAAATGCGGGGACTATCTGTAAAATCATGTGCCCCCGATTTTGCAGGCCCAAAGGCCCACCACGAGGTGCAGAAGATTCACGTCAAGGAATAGGCTCACTATGGATCGAGTTCGAGTCAGAAGACAGAACACGAGGCTCGAAGATTCAAGTGTTCGAGGAACGTCGTGGACCAGTATGATCAACCCCGATATGATGCCGTTACAAGTTTGTAACTGAATGAGCAAGATTCCTACCACGTCCCTAAGATCATGGCATAAATTCCGGAATAGATTTGTACGAATTCGTACTAGGCGGTTAGACAGCTGTCCCAATAGGATTCTTTACTATAAATAGAAATGTACCTTATTTAGGGTTCCCCCAATTATATAAAGGGGACCCCAATCATTTGTAAACATCATCAATGATTGACAAAGAATATACTCTCCTACTTTTTGGCTCATATTTCGTCAAAATCATCTCTTTATTTAATTGTTCTTGCTTTACTGTTCTTAACCAACCTCGAGGCCCCCTTAGCTCGAGGCCGAGACTGTCTTGCACGCTGGTTTGATTCTACTTATTTCCTTTATTTACACGCTAGTTTTCTTGGTTATTAATTAGTATTGGACTAAATCACATATCTTTAAAAGTATAAATCAAATTTAATTGTTACTCGTATTTTCGAGGTAAACAAATAAGAAGAGTCAATCTTAGCTAATAATAATATCCTAAAGACAAGGTTATCGGTTTTATGACAAATAACTTGTATATTAATCCAGATAGTAATGAATGTGAACAAATATAATAGTGTTCAATGATCCAAAAAGACGAAATATGGCATTAAATAGTAATAAATAGCAATAAATGACATTTTAGTAAATAAAAACGTGTGAGTCACCCGAAAAGGGGTGAGATCTGTGGATATTCTCTCTGACAATGATGAATGATTGACGAGCCTTTGAACACTCAGGTTGTTCTTGGATCCAGTGGAAATGCTAGATAAAATCTTAGTAAAAAGGCTATTTTTGTATGCTTGTAATATGGCTAGATTATCTCTATAAAGCCAATAATGTTTTTTCACAAATGAATATCTCATGTCCCCTATCATTGTGTCTCTTTCTATTTATAGGGAACATATTCCTAGATACCCTAATAGTACATGTGCAGAGAACACCCGCCAGAATATTTTCTTTAGTGTCCTATCTTAGAACTAGTCGTTATAAGTCTGTCAAGGATGCTCGACCTCGACCATGATCTTTGGCGACTCCTCGACCTTGATCCTTGTTGACTCTTCGACCGCAACCTTCATTATTTCTGTTGGAGTCGTATTTCTTGTAATAGGTCGACCGCAACTACGTCGACCTTGGGCAGGCTTTCATTGGAGTCGTATTGGTGACGCATGTCAGCCTGTGAATGCCTCCTTAATGCTAACATGATTTAATCATATTAGAGATAATTTTTGACCCATACAGGACTGTGTTTGCATGTTTTCACTAAAAGTTGACCTAACAAACGACAAAAGGGGAAAACAACTATGCTAGCCCAATTAGTGAATTCCATCAGAGAAAGGACGATTAAACATAAAACCGTTATTTTATTCCATTAAGGGCTGCCAACACAGCCCTTTTTATTTATAACAGTGGATGTATCATACAATGACTGTAAAAATCATCCCTGTTCTTCTGGACTTCATTACATGAGCTTCTATATTTGCTCCAACACATACTGGAAAATTTAAGTGAGGTAAAAACATAGTGGATTGCATTACAATAACATATACACTTTTGTTACATAAAATATAAAAACAGCCTTTCAGATTAGATATATAACGAGATCTTGCTGTGCCACCAGTTTGATTTTCTGTCCACCATATGCTTGGAATTTCCCTCTTTTGTCAGCTTCCTCTGTTTGCCCAAAAACCTCTGTTTCAAAGTGCCCATCTACAAGTCTCTTCTGTTAATTTGTTCATGTGCTCAAAAACCCAGATGGGGCATTTGCACCCATTGGATAAAAAAAGTGAAAAAAGTAGCACATGATCAAAAAAGACAGAATAACTGGACAGACCCTTAAGAAACTAGGGAAGACGAACAGGATCAGCTACTGTACGTGTTGAAGTTGAAGCGTGTGACCATCTCATCCAAAAAGCTTAAGCTATTAGAGAGAGTACACTTTTATTTACTTACTTGTTGTATCTTCAACACGCCCCCCTGACGTGATCAAGCATGTGAAAATGATGGTTTGCTTAACACTCGTGATGGGTGAAGCCAAAAAGGGGAAAGCACAGGGCAAGACATATGTATACAAGTAGAAACAAGGTAAGTTAAGGCCATAGACGTATAGTAGAGTACGGTCATTTTGGTAGTATGTTTTATTGTAGTAGTTGTGGAGTTTAGACTTTGGGATTGAGGATGAATTTAATCATCCCCTTGAATATACCAACAGAGAAGCATAGTGGCACATTGACGTACAATGTAAAGCCTGGCTCGTTGTTCTTTAATCAGAGAAACACACTTTCTTGAAATGTTGCTTTTTCTTTTTGACACTTGCTTTACCTGTTGATCAGCCATGATTCTTGGTTTTACTAGCAAAGATGATGATTTTAGTTTTTGGGATGGAGAAGAATGAGAGATTGAGGAATGAGTAAAAAAGGGGGAAAAAAGCTCAATTGGAGCTGGACCCTGATTCTAAAACTATGAAGGAAACTAGTAGTATTTATACTAAGAAGATCAAGTGACTAACATACAAGGGAGGGGAGGGGCAGAGACCAAGCCAATATTTAAACCTTATAGGTTCGGGCCAATATTCAATGAATTTTTTTAAGACAAATACAAGGTTTAAACAAAGTTATTGAATTCGACCAAACCCACATCGCACACTCTGGCTCCGCCCCTAAACAATGAATATGGTCACTTGGAAAAGAGGGGGATTTGCATGGAAAGAAGGAGTAGTTGAGTTAATTTGGGTGCTAAAAAAGAGGAGTGAACGTGGGGGTATGTATTCTTTGATCAGATTCAGGCATAGTAAATTGGAATACAAGGGATGATTGTTATATTTTATTGCAGTTACGTGTGTTTAGATTAGAAAAGTGGTAAAGTAATAAAGTATGCGTGAGAAAAGGAGGGTTGCATAATCTGGACAAGGAAATCCTATGGGATTTGGGAACACAATGTCGGCTATTTCACTGTAGCTTTTGGGTTTTGGCTCCAGATTTCCTTGGTTTGGTTCCATGGCTCCAACCTTCAATACTCTTTTTGTTTTTCTTGTAAAAATTCAATATTCAAATATTTATTGGCCCAATTAATTCATATTTCACCCTATGTAGAGTTATTGAGGAGACTAGGCCAGTACTTCCTCCGTACAAGAGGTTTTTCGATTCAAATCTGAAACCTCTTGATTGTAATGTCTAAAAGTTACTCTTCTACCTGTTTGGATTGACTTATTTTAAGTGTTTTTAAACCAAAATAATTTTTAAGTTATTTTGTAGTGTTTGAAAAAAAAATAAAAAAGTGCTTTTAAGCACTTATTTTTAAGCTAATATAAGACAAATGGCTCAATCTCAAGTAAAATTTGACCATTTTCCTCGTTTTTATATTAAATCCCAAATAAGCATTCTCCAAATAGAATGACTGAGTGGCTTTATGTACTTCTTGATGAAATTCAAGTGCTACCTTCATTTAAGTTAAAGAAACTGAGCTTGGATATTTTTCATCAAATATTTTAATAGTTGCAAATAACAATAATGCAAATACAGTTAATAGGAACCCAAATTTGTCACCTTTTTGGCCAACCTCAAATCTCCATAGATCCACTTGTTTATACTCTTGTCAGAAATCATTATCTCGAAGTTTATTAGTGTTCTAAAGAAGAAGATATGATACAACTGTATCAATCATCACCAACATACTCCCTCCGTTAATTTTTACTTGTCCAGTATTTTAAAAATAGATTTTTACTTTTACTTGTCACTTTTAGCATTCCCACTGTTCACTTTTACTTGTCTTGTATTTTAAAAATAGATTTTTATTTTTACTTGTCACTTTTAGCATATCAAGAGAAGACAATTTCTTTTTTCCTGTTATACCCACAGTATTAATTACTCTTTCCAAATCATTTTCTCAAATTCATTAAAAATATGTATCAATCGGTATCATGGTAAATTATGCACTTTATTTATTATTTCTTAATGGATGTGCAAAGTCCATAGTGGACAAGTAAAAGTGAACGGAAGGAGTATAAGATTTTCCTGTAGTAGCTTATAAGATTAGCTTAATGAGGAGTGCCAACTGACTCTTGCATTCAAACCCTACCATTAGTGGCCTAGCCTATACTGTTATACATCATATATCTTCCCTGCTAAATATACTATTTTTCATTTTTGCATAATTTGTTGTCCCTTTTTATGGGTCTTTTATTAGATAATTATACATTAAAAGCTTCTAACTTTCAAGGACAGTTCACCAATCAAAAGTCATGTGACTCCACTTTGATTTTGGAGCCCCTATACAACTTCTGAAACCTTCAATGCCCATGGTTATATTTTAGAAATTAGGTCGGTCCAATAGCTTCGTTATAAACTCAAACAAAAGAACGATATACCTCTCTTTATTTTTATCAGATAAGTAAGGACTAATTAATCGGAGCAACAGTAAAATTGTTTCCGCATGACCTATAGATCACATATTCGAGTCGCGAAATCAGCCATCAATGGCTTGCGTTTGGTAGGCTGCTTACATCAAACCTCCTTGAGTGCGACCCTTCTCCCGACCATGCATGCATGCGAAATGCTTTCGTGCACCGAACTGCCAAGTAAGACTAAGAAGCAGAAATACAAAAGTATTGGACATATGAGAAGCTATGTAGATATGCATAATCTCTTGCTCTTTGAGCCTTGACGATGTACATAAATTATTGGTAGGGGAAAAGTAGCAATTCCCTAGAAATTGGAGGAATTTTCTGATGCTGAAATTGGAGGAATTTTCTGATTCAGTACACATTCAGTGAATTAACCAACAGAGTGAAGATACGATAAGTATTGGGGAGAGCCTTTCTTTTTTTCTAAGAACATTCCTTTTCGTAGATTGTTTCGTACATCTATTTGCATTTCTTATCTGAATACAGTGTATGTGCAAAAGAGTATAACAAAAGCTACCTGATCCTATTGCTGTAAGTCATGAGCAGCTGTTGACTAATGATACATGCTACATATTATATGATCTAGTTTGCTTAGATATTAAGTTGTACATAGAAAATCTGATTATTATTTTCAAGTAATTTCAATGCATTCAAAATCAGCATTTACCTTTTTTGCGTGACTCTGATTGGCTTTTTGAGAGAAATTCATTACTATCCCATACTTGCAATCATGGCCCAGTTGGTTTGGAGGGCGGTCATCCACACAGATGACCTGGGTTGATTCCCTCGTCAATGTCTTCTGGGTCGAGCCTGTCACACAGAGCTTGCCTAGTGCAGTTTACATCCCCTGTGTGGTTTACAAGCTATTACACAGTGGGAGGTTTACCCAGTGCGCACAGAGTGCTCACTCGAAGAGCAGAGGCTACAGCGGCTACGGGTTTTCCGGGGTTCCAAAAACAAAATCCCATACTTGCAAACACATTTTACTAGTTGACCAAATAAAAAATTTTAATTGTCTCTTTCCTTTTAAAATTTAGTAGTTCCATTTGGTTCTTTGTTTCAGTTTTGTGATTTGCATGGTTCAGTTGGATACTTACAGCCCGTTTGGCCAAGCTGCAAAAATCAGCTTATTTTGAGAAGTGCTTTTTTTCAAAAGTGCTTTTCTTAAAAGTACTTTTGGTGAGAAGCAGTTTGTGTTTGGCTAATTAGTTTGAAAAGCACTTCTGAGCAGCAATTAGTGTTTGGCCAAGCTTTAAAAAACTGATTCTAAGTGTATTTTTTTCAAAAGTGCTTCTCAAAAAAGAAGCTACTTTTTTCTGCTTCTCCTCAAAAGCAATTTTTTTTCCTTCCAAAAGCTTGGCCAAACACCTCAATTTTTTGCCAAAAGTGCTTTTGGCAAAAAAAAAAGCACTTTTAACCAAAAAGAAGCTTGGCCAAACAGGCTAAAAGTTGTTTCTTGCTTCTCCATTGTAAGTGGCTACTAAGCTGACAATCCATTGAGTTTCAAAATGCTGTGGATCTCATGAGGAGCCAGGAGCAATTAGGATGGCTGTTGATGATATTAGAGGGTATTCATCAAAGTCGAATTGCATCCCGTTGTACAAAGCATCCTACATTCACGCAGGGTTCAGAGGAGGCCCGCACCACAAGGGGTGTAACATAAACAGCCAACCCAAATGCAAGTATTAGTGGATGCTTTCACGGCCCGACCCCGTGATGAATTATTATTACATACTAACTGAAAATTACTAAATACATAGTATTTTTCTTCATCCACTACTGAGTTGACCTACAGTTGATGAAGAATAGCATGAAAAGTTGAGAGTATATTTGGAGAAAGTAAAACCTTTTTCATGATTGAAACCAATTGCAAAGCTTCAATGTTCTTTTTAATTCTCAGTTGAGTGGAAGTAGAAGCTAAAGCTCTCAAGAAATAGATTCTTTGGGCCGGGTTTCAACATTTTTGTTTCTTGGCTAACTGCTTGTTTTACCATAAACTAAGAAGTCAAGATCCTATTAAGTGGGTTATTTGAATTAATTATGAAGCAGCCCACCCAATCGCTTAAACTAAAAATAGCCGGTAGATGTATAATATGTGCATAATTTATGTATTATATGTATATAATTGTGTATAATTAATGTATATGACTAGAAAAAATAAACAATAAATATGGCCGGCTACTTGAGCAAAGATCCCAAATTGACACTTCTAATATCTTTATAATACTAAAGTTATCATGAGTTTTCATACTTGTTGGAGTTTGTTCAGCCATCTTCTCTTTTCTTTTTATGGTACGGTCCGACAACATATTCACATAATAGCGAAAAAAGTGCTAGTTATAGATATTGATACCAAATAGCTAATAAATATATATCATAACAATAATGTGTATATCAAAATATATATCATAACTTTATTTTCTTCTTTGTGTATATCAAAATATATATTAAAATTTTATTTTCCTTCTTTATATATCTAACAAATAAAATTATAAATATAGCTAGTTAAAAATATTGTGTCTCTATATCGATGTATATCACAACAAAAATAATTGCATTGTTTGTATATTGCAATGTATAACACAAATAATGTGTATACTAAAGTGAATATCACAAGTTTATTTTCCTTCTTTGTGTATATCAAATTTTTTTCTTCTTCTTTGTATATCAAAAAATATATAAAAATTTCTTTACTTCCACAATTATTTTTGTTATTTTTATATTCTAGAACTTTCTCTAAACATGTTATATAAAAAAATTATTTTTCTTCTTTGTATATCAAATTTATTTACTCGCATAATTATATTTATCTATACTATATTAAAAGCACGACGGCCCTTAGCGAAATGTCGTTCGCCTTTTTTGCCCTTTAAAAATAAAGTTCACATTGGACAATATTGTAATTAATTATTTTTCTAATATTTAGGATTTTGAAATCAAATAAATTTTTCTAATTAAAGTTTTCCTTATTTGATCTATGTAAAACTCCTAAGATTTAGGAATTTGAGATTGCGTAAGATTTTACCTCGAAATTTTCTATAAATTAGGCCAAATAATAGCATCTCACTTCTAAGCTCCTTTCACGTTAAGTTATAGATAAATAAAAATTTTGTACTCTTTTATGTGCTATATTATTACTAGATGTATTGGAAATTTTCTCCATTGTTTTTCCTATTTTTATAATATTTTTCATATTTTTTACTATATTATTAAGTATTTTTCGTTTTTAATTAAATATTTCAAAAAAAATTTTATTTTTGTAAAAAATATNATTATTAAGTGGTTCATATAAAAGCAAATAGGCCAACGAAAACTAAAAAAGTATAAGCACAAAAAAATCTTTGGGGCTATATCAACAAATTAATCTAAGCATTTTTGTTAAATCACTTTTGTTGTTTTTTCTTTCTCTTTCTTCACCTTTAATGTCAANTCTGAGCAGCAATTAGTGTTTGACCAAGCTTTAAAAAACTGCTTCTAAGTGTATTTTTCTCAAAAGTGCTTCTCAAAAAAGTACTTTTGGAGAGAAGCTACTTTTTTCTGCTTCTCCAAAACTGCTTCTGCTTCTCTCAAAAGCACTTTTTTTCCTTCCAAAAGCTTGGCCAAACAACTCAATTTTTGGCCAAAAGTGCTTTTGGCAAAAAAAAAAAAGCACTTTTGGCCAAAAAAAAAAACACTTTTGGCCAAAAAGAAGCTTGGCCAAACAGGCTATTACTCTAAAAGCAGTTTTTGATGTTTTAAGACTTGAAGCTTAATGTCTTATAGGTATTGCTAGTATAACTGTGACGCTTAAAAGTTTGGTTTTAAATGAATCAATTTGCATACCATTCCTTCTTATAATTAGTAACTTGCCAACTAAATCGGAGGGAAAGCAGCAGATATTTGTGTAACATTTCTCGTATTTGGGTTCAATGTTGTACTGTGCTAGTATATGTTGTGTACAACGCTAATTCAGCGTGGCCGCCTTCATCTTAAATTTAGTGTACAGAAGCAACATTTTAGTTCACTATGCTAAACTACGCTTGCTTCTGCCAACTTCTTCTGGCTCCGGCCAAGAAGTAACTCGTAATCCTGCAAAATATAGAGATATAAGTTTAATAAAGAAATGAAAAAACATAACCTACTGCATTTTATCATGCTACTACTGAGGCTCCAAAAAGTGCAGATATCGTGAGTAACTCCGCGATCTGTGTGCACAATTTTGTTTTTTGGTTTAACGTTATATTGGTCGGAGAACTATAAGTTGACGCAGAATAAGCAATTATAAGTAAAAGGCATGCTTGACGTCCATTTCTCTCACAGGTATAAGTTGAGAGAAGGAAAGTCTGCCAAAAGTAAAGCTGTACTACTTGACAACCCCAGTCCTCTCACCAAATTCATGGAAACAGGCTTGCAGAAATATATACTGCTAACTAATGTCTGAGAAATGCTTCTAATATTCTTTACCGCAGCAAAGATGACAAAATATAATCATATACACTATCAATGGAAATGTGTGTATAGTTCTCCAGCCTCAAAAATGCACGGGTAAGGTTGCGTACAATAAGCCCTTGTGGTCCGGCCCTTCCCGGAACCCCGCGCATAGCGGGAGCTTAGTGCACCGGGCTCCCCTTTTGTTTTTTTTTTACTATCAATGGAAGAACAAAAAAAGTGAGAGCTAACCTGTACAATAGCTTGGGCACAAAGCTTTCCTGATAAGACAGCACCTTCCATTGAAGCCAAGTACTTCTGTTTCGTGTAGTCACCAGCTAAATAAAACCCCTCTATAGGGGATCTTTGCAAGGGCCGACAGGGTTCACAACCTGGCACAGTTTTATAAACAGACCTGAGAGAAAAAAGCAGATTAATCAGGATTCAGAATAGGAATAGATTCCATGTGGACTGTAATTCTCGCATATTACACAACTATGAAAGCAAAATGATTACTGACCTTGGGGTTTTGACAACATGATACTTCAATATTTTTGCTTTGCTCTGATCTGCCGAAATTTCATCAGGGAAAAGCTTTGCTAGTTCCTTCATTGTAGCATCAATAATTTCTGAGTCACTACGATTTATCCACTCTTCTGCAGGTGCAAATACCAATTCCAACATAGACTGATTGGGGTTGTAATATTCCTGCAGAGAGACCAGTTATATCAGAGGGCCCTAAAGAACACATGAACGGATATAGTGGGCTAAGTTGTCATCCATTCTTGACTGTACCCAATAAAGGAAATAATTTTATTTTTACTCCCCACTCACTCCCATATGCATATCATTCAGCCACTCTTTCCCCACTTCTGCACCTTTCTTGATGTTCGCATTTCTATAGACAATTGATTGGATGTTCTATCATGAACCTAACATTCCATGTCAACTTCTCTAACTTTTTGGTAACCACTACTTTATATTTTGCATTTTCATAGCAATAAAATTGAGACATAGGCTTATCGGCTCTCCCCAAACACCGCAGGTACCACAGAACTAAGTCCCCCCGCCCCCCTTTTGGGGCAAGTAAGAAATGCAACGAGGGGCAGACTTAGAGGGCCCTAACCTTTTTCTCCTTCCACCAAAAGAAATCCGAATGTCTAATATATGAATTTTCTTCCTTCAAATCTTTTAAAAAGTAGCTAAAAGAAACTACTTTCCCCGCCTAAGTTTCATCAAACTTCCTTTACTTCTCCTTCGAAAGTTGCTTCGTGTAGGGCCCTTGTGCACAAACAGGAGCAGTGTCCTGACTATTCATAGTCCAAACATATAAAGCCTATATAATTATGCATCCTAAATGAGGATTACAATAGCAGCAACTGATATACATAAATTCAACAAGCATTATGCAATTTAAAAGCAACTCATACACAACAGAATAGAACAATATGAATGCTACAGATGAGTCAATACCTTACATGTAACAGACATGTCAGCATACACACTGAGCAGTGGACTTCTGCGTGAAAATAAAAGAGAATTGAGCAAGGGAACCCATACAAGTATCAGAAACAACACAATTTCTTGAGATAAAAAAAGGAGATCTATAATCTTGCTCCACCATCAATGATGCCATTTAAAAAGTAGGGGAACATAATCAACATATAGCTGATGAAAAATGGCATGGATACTCCAGTCCATTATAAATGCCTTGGAGAAATGGTCATCATAACATGTCAGCTCTGTCCTTGACTGAACAAATGATTAGAGATGGGGTTTTCCTCGGGGAAT